CAAAGGTCAGGTAGACCACAAGAATTATCTAGCTAGTTGTCGCTTGGATGTCACTCGTCGCGGCCGGTGATTTGACAAAATGTACTTGTTCTCCCCTTGTAAATACCGATCGGTAAATGTGTATGTGTTTGTGTCTTGTGAACTGTACATAGTTTTTACTAAACGACGTCCAATGGACTGAACATTTTCGACTGGAAGCCTGATGATAGCACAACGTTGTGCTGAAACCTAGGTTGCAATCGACTTACTTTGAACTGGAGACTGAAGGTAATTAAACCATTATATTAGTTATAAACCAGTTCAGGGGCAATTCCACATCTTATGATGTCAAAACTATTTAGACTACACTTTTCACTGGCACAGTTACTCTGCTTTTCCACTTCACTTGACACACACTTCACCGCCTCGCTATATAGTTATATAACTATAATTTGTCAGTGTCAATAAAATAGTCAAATTATATCGAGGACAACCAAACTTGGATATGCAACTATGTTTACACCTAAGTTTCCTTTTTGGTACTCACCAACAAGGATCAACCGTAATTTTTTTCACTCAGAAAGTGTCCTGAGTTCCCGGAAAATTGTAACATATTACATTTTAAAAATTAAGGGTAAATTAAAGGTTTAGGTTCTGGTTTCGGAGCGAGTCCAAGTTCTTGCAGTGACGAAGATTTTCTTACTGCTGATAGCCTTTTTCGTTTTCAGCGAGAAAAATACTGAGTAATTTCTATAGTTTGGGCCGTTTAGGGAACCAAACACATTTTAGAAAACTCTTCTATCTCATCATTTCAGTAAACTATGATAACTTATTATTATTTTTATAGAAGTTAAATAGATGTCAAGAAAAAATATACCACAAATTATTATTTTTTGGATAGAATTACATTGACCAAAGAATACTCTCAGAGTATAGTGTAGTGATAAAGTTTCCCGAGCAAAGCTCGGTCCCCAGGTACTCATACAATAATTAGTTAATTCCATTATCTATATCTATAAAAGAGGAACTATGTATGTACTTGTATGTATGTATGTATGTATGTACCTTATGGACTCCGAAACCGCTTGACAGATTGTAATGTAACTTTCAGGTATTATTAAGCATTATTCAAGGATGGTTTGTGTGAAGTTTGGTGCAGATCCGTCAAAAAGGGCTCCACCCCAGAGGGTTTTAAGGGTCCAATGTCAGATGTTTGGAACTAAAATGTTTACAAATAAATATAATTTAAAAGCAGATGTTTACTTTCACCAACTGTTTTGCATGTTTTAATAATCACAACATTCTGTATTAGTCATGATTTGAAATACAATGGAATCTTGATAAGAAGACCCTCGATAACAATTCACCCTTGATAACAAGTGTCATTTTCAAATCCTCTTAAAATAATTTTACCCCTAATCACATGTTATTACAAACCTTGATAAGAAGTCAACCTTGATTAAAAGTCTTATTTTACAATCCCCATGAGAGTCTTGTTATCGAGGTTATACTGTAGTGCCACACAGTTTCCACAGAATGCAGCACAGAAAACTATTTTACTTTTGGATAAGTCTAAATATATTAAGCCTTGATCGCAGCACACCTGTGCAACGTTTAAATTCTCCACTATTAAATATATCTACTAGATAACCTGTTGCTCAAAATCGAGCAAAACTGAAACTTGTATAAAAAAATAAACAAAAAACATAAACAGCAAGACCTTAATCAAAAAGTCACTCTAAAATATTTTATAAGACTGATTATAAAAATATAAAAATATTATGATGTAAAAAAATATAAAAGCAATCTACAATATTTAAATTTGGCCAGGGCTTAATTTCAGCTTTAAAAGTTGCTGCGAAATCTACACAGGTAGAACCATTGTAGCGAGGGAAGACACTTCTTCTGTCTCTTATTATGTACATAAGAATCTCACTTGACTCCTCGGAGCTCTCGTCCGTCTGCCACTGTCTTCAAAGATTTGCAAATGGGTTGGCATTGTGACCCTATTTCCCGCATATTTTTTCATTGCATTTTTTTTAATTGTGCTTAGTTCTCCTTTGGGTTCTAGTGACATTGTCGTACTTACTTATATATCTGTGCGTATTTAGGATCATCACCTTCTTGAGGAATTAGAGGACCCACTCGGTGGTAAAACGTGTCACGGATCTTAAAATTATAGATCCTCTGTGGAACTTTCTCATCTTAATGAGCTTTGGAGCTGACCATGGTAAAGGCAGAACTGAATTAATTGAGGAACTTTATCCAAATAATTTCTGGATATAAGTCTCACAGTCTTATTTTCAGATTGGGAGTTTCCAATAAGAACCCAAAGTTTATTGTGGTGAATTACACGAATGAGGTAAACGAACCTTTCATTTATGGCAACAAAGAGTACAAACTTAAGTGTCTCGGCCAGTCTTTTCTTGCTTAAAAATATGTAAGCCACTACAATGTAAACATTTAACGTTCATTTGTCCGAGATTGGACTATCACAACGGTGGTACTACCACCATGTACCTATCAAATGTTCAATTGAGAGGTTGATGCAAGCGGTCATGTTCGCATTCCCTCTAGCCACTCACAGTTCTTCGTCGTACTGGCGGCATTTGATTTTAAATTTAAATGAAATAAGAAAATTAACAAAACAACAGAAAACACTATAAAGGAATTGGAATTTTGATACACATTGTAAATTACATGATAATATGGTAATGTAATGGATAACTGCCCTGTGAATAATCACTTTTAAACATTCACTTCATCACATCGAACTGTAACTACACGATAATCAGTAAAATACAATGTAAGGTTAATCAATTTAACCATAGGCAAAAAGAATTAAGGAAAATATTTATTTAAACACTTTGTTGTCTAGTATTGATAGGAAACTATTCATTATGAACCAGAGTTAGTTTCTGTTGTTAACCTTAAAAACTACAGTATTTCAAACTACGTCCATATGTTATTTGTAAACAAAGGGAAATGAGTTTGATCAAATGTCAACAGATCGTGCCGCCTTCCAAACTTTAGCCTTTAAGTGTACTTAAGTGGTGCCCTTTCTTTATATTCTGAGACGTATTTGCACATCTACGTGAAAATACCTTTAATTTGACACCTCAAACTTTAAAATCCATCAAGCCATTATTGAGTTATGACTGTGAAAAGAAAACTGCTTGCGTAATAATATACAGGGTGACAAAAGAGTCTGGAAACGGTTTAATTTCTTTTTAACTAAATCAGTTAGAAAATTCAAACCTTTCACATCAACTAACATGTATGAAAACTACTTTTTCTAAGCATTGTCATTTTTTTTACCTCTACCAGGGGACGACCCACGAGGAGTAGGTACATAATCTTTAATGTAAGCATAGGTTGATATGCACACCATTTTAAAGGATTAGTCAAGTGGAGTTCATTACCGGAAACCGCGTCAAAAAAGGTTCATCCGTTACAAAATGGCAGCTGTCCAAAGTTCTTGTGAAATATACCTGCACAGGCCTTAGTATGGGCAAATACTCGTAATAAACATTAGTTTGAGAGCTTAAACTGTATTTTAAAGTCAACTAGCTCATAGACTAATAGTATTCAATCTTCAAAACAAATTTAACCCGGTTTCAGATTTCCCTGCTAATGTCAATACTAAGGCCTCTGCAGGTATATTTCGCAAGAACATTGAACTGCCGCCATTTTGTAACGGATGAACCTTTTTTGACGCGGTTTCCGGCAATGAACTCCACTCGACCAGACCTTTAAAATGATGTGCATATCAACCTATGCTTACATTAAAGATTATGTACCTACTCCTCGTGGGCCGTCCCCTGGGGGAGGTCAAATAATGGCAATGATTGCAAAAAGTAGTTTTCATACATGTAAGTTGATGTGAAAGGTTTGAATTTTCTAACGAATTTAGTTAAAAAGATATTAAACCGTTTCCAGACTTTTTTGTCACCCTGTATAGATAAACCCAATGAAAAAACAAAAAACATTGTTTTTCCACTGACAATTAAGTAAAATAAATATTCTATTTTTGTTTTTGGTATACATTTTTGTTATTTATCGTACAGAACAAATTACTATTTAAAATAATATTTGTTAAGCGCAGAAACACACACCGGGTAACTGCTATTATAGAAATAAATCAAACTGTTTTTACCCAGCAAAGAAAACGTTAAGTTCAATTTTACATACAATGTGACGGGCATAGCTACTGTATTTATAAAGTAAAATGAAAATTACTGGGAAAATATAGGCCTATGTCTAAAGTACTCAAAACAATTTTAAGGAACAATGTATCTGAGAGAAATAGTGGGACTGGTCGTGTTAAAAAATAGGTGCGACAGACGGAGGGTTAAACATGGTCAAACTAATGGTTCCCATTTAGAGGCTAGGACTGTTGGAATATTTGACAATATGTGAGCTACCGGTACTATTAAACCAATATCTATTTAACCAAAATTTTGTAGGCTAATTCATTTCATACCATCAAGTCAATTTATTCAGAATGTTGTTTTGTTATAACAATGTAAGAAAAACCATTACAATGTCATTCAAACAGCCAAACATGTCATTTAAGGAGAGAATGTCCAATGAACGGATAGCTACCAATGTCTAGAAAGTACCATAGACCAAGATGTATAGTACGTACATTTTCTGCATGGTAAGTAATTTAGCCTAGGACTGGCAAAAACTTGTAAAGTGAAGAAATTAATTTTAATTTTCTTGACACTTTATGATACTTTCCATCCTTATTACAAGAAATTATTATTCTTAGTGCACATAAAAAACAAATTGTTATGCTAAACAACAATTTTTACAATGGGGGTGCAGATCCATCCCCTTCTCGTCTGTGGATATTGCAGAAAATGGCGGAAAGCTTACTTATCTGCAATAACCATGCTAAAGCGTTCTTTACTTTCCGGATGACTTATGTACTGAGGACATATTTTCCCAATTTCTGTGACCTCTTGAGTAGGAATACATAACAACAAAAAAAATTTATGTCAGCTTCACTATTACAGATGGTGGAAAAGGAATCAAACGTCTGGGGAGCCCCCTCATGGATGACTGGTGTCCTGACTCCCAGGTAGTATTGGCGAAGAAACTCTTGGACGAAAAATGTGGTAGGTGTTAAGAAGTCATAAATTTGTCCTGGGGTCTTTATTTATAGAAAATTTTTTTTATCCACAAGTTTTTTACTACAACAAACAAAAATGGCTACCTACCAAAAAAGTTGTAAAGGAGAGTAATTTGTTTACAACACCTTTATGACATTTCTTTATATACAGGTAACACTCTTTATCACAAAGCTTTTAACATTTTTAAAATGTTAAAGCAACAACAAATCTAAATGCTTTATGTTAACACTTTGTAATAGATGTCCCCAGCTAATTAGAACCTTTTAGCGAATTTCCCATAAGGTAAAACCACCAAATGACATGCTAAGGTGTAGTGATAGCCATATTTATTGATTGCCTGAGTTAAAATAGCCGCGTGTACAACTTAAAGACGTTTAATACTTATGCCAGAGTAGTAGAAATATTAAATAACATCAAAACAAAGCTAGTAAAGTTATAATAACGATTTTTCAGCGTACTCAACCCAACCTATTACAGACGTGTATTGTCGACACACGTAAAATTAATATCAACATTTTTTATTTTAATATCGACAGCCAATAAAATTGATTATTTTAAAGCATTTAAAAGCACAATCTAGCCTAAAATGACTTTAAATCTACTCTTTATTAATATTTATTCAAGATACAACTTGACTTTTAATGTAAAATAAAAACAAAAAATTAAAATAAAATATTTTCTGAGACGTCTTTAGGAATGCGTTGAGGTGTGACGCCAACTGTAAAGATATGGTATTTTATTTCAAGGTATGATTAGTTTAATGGCTTTAATTCAGTGGCAAACAATGAAAAATATTATGACAAACCTGAAATTATTTTCCTATTGGCAAAATATAAGTTCATATTAATACTAGACTAAGTTAAAGATGTGACTGCAGGCAGAGCAGACGACCACCGTCTGTCAGGCCAGGCGCTGAATTTCAGGAGCAGTGGCGTAACGCGGGCCCGCAGTGCCCGGGGGGGCCCGGGAGCCGCGGAGGCCCGCGAACCGGTGAGCGTGAGTGGGAATTGACGAGCGGAAACTGGCGAGCAGAGAAAGAAGGGCCCTCAAGACGAGTGACCTGAAAATATATAGTTCATTCTTATTGAAATTTATTTTTTATTTATTATTATTATTATTATATAATTTGTAGCCTACTAAAGAAGTAATAAAATTAATATTAAAAATTATATGATATTATTGCTTAATTTTGTTAGGCTTATTCAGTGATAACCAAGGCGTCAAATTTAACGTTTTACACTTCCTATATCTGCAACTGCTACGAAATACGTTAAGTTGGCAAGCGGAGTCATGAACGTTTGATAGAGGTATTAATATTATCATGTTATGTTGGCAGCTCTGCTTTAACTTCTTATCTGCTCTTCGCCCTATCCCGGCCTCTCACGTCAACAACCCCTTACACGAGTCAGTCAGTCAAGCCAAGCCTACCCGACAGGCGTCTGCGCTGCGTTGTTTACGTTGGCCGGTTAATATAATTTGTACTTTCTGTTTTATAGTGGAGTGTACTGAAAGTGAAGTGACTACTGACTACGTTATTTGTTATTAATTGCTTGTTTCTATCATGAAGCCATTCAAACCAAAATATGAACATTTAAGTGGTGCACAGAAGAGGAAACTAAAAGCCCAACAAAAACAGTCGGAGGCAAAGCTGAAAAAAATAAATACCTTTTTTACTCCAAGTACTAGTAGTAGTTTAAGTTCACCTTCAACTTCTACAGTTTTAAATTATCCGGTTGAACAAGATAGTAGTGGCAAAATTGACATTATCGAAAAAGATTATAGTAATTGTGGCGAAAGTTCGTTCAGGGAGGATTCAGGCGATTCACCTTCACCAGAAAGGGACGATAACGTAGACATAGCTACGGATGTCGTGAGTAGTCCTAAATGTAAAACTAATTTAATTAATCCTAATCCTACCGTTCAAGATTCCAGTGATGATAAGGCTAAGATTACTATTGATGAAATATTACAAAACGTAGTTTATGAATATCCAACTAATTACGCAAATTTTCCTTTGGTCTTAGATGACGAAACAAAAAAGTTCGTCATAAGAAACGGCCCTTGCAAACCTCGGGGTCCCTTTCCTAAAGATTCAAAACAAAGTAACAGATCCTTTTCTGAGAAATATTATTTTAAAACCACAAAAACTGGATTGAAAATATCACGAGAATGGCTTTGTTATTCGCCAATAAAAGATTCTGTATACTGTGAAGCCTGCTGGTTGTTTTCGGAAAGAAGAAACTTACAGTCAACAGCATGGATTGATGGTGTACGAGTCTGGCAAGGTCTTTAGAAAAAAATTGAAAAACATGAGTCTAGCTATAGTTATTTGAACGCATGTGTCGTATTCAACCTTTGGAGAAAAAATCAAACTGTTGACGTTAATATGGAATCCAGCGTTAAAAACGAAACCAACAAATGGGTTAAAGTGTTGGATCGAATAGTAAATGTAACGCTTACTTTGGCTGCTTCTAATTTAGCTTTTAGGGGCCATAGAGAAAACATTAGTCAACCGAACAGTGGAAACTTTTTGGCCATAATTGACCTTTTGAGTAAATATGATCCAGTTTTACAAGAAATTGTTACTGGACCTAAGCATAGCAATAAATATATGAGCCCTAACAATGAATGAACATGAGCCCTAACAGAATGAGCTCATACAACTTTTATCAAACAAAGTTGAAAATAGTATTTTAAATTAAATTAAATCCTCACAGTTTTTTCTATAATTATGGACACAACACAAGATGTAACCAAAAAAGACCAACTGAGCCAAGTAATAAGATACGTTTCAATTTCAGAGGATGAAGTTAGAAGACCAATTAGTTTGAATATAAAAGAAAGTTTTTTGGGGTTTAAGGAGGTAATCGACCAAACGGGACAAGGTCTAGCAGAAGATATATTAAAAAGTATTGAAGATAAGGGATTGAAGTTATCAAAATGCTGAGGGCAGGGTTACGACGGGGCGGCAAATATGTCTGGGGTGTACCAAGGGGTAAAATCAAGAATCGAAAATAAACAGAAAACTGCCAAGTACGTGCATTGTGCTGCCCACAATTTGAACTTGGTTTTAAATGATGCCATCTCGAAAATTCAAGAAAACCGAAACTTTTTTGACATAGTCGAACAGCTGTATGTTTTTTTTTTTTTCAGCCAAAGTATAAAAAGGTGGGAAATACTAAGTACCACTACCTATACGTTAAAAAAACTTTGCCCAACACGCTGGTCATCCTGAATCGACTCCTTAAAAGCTTTAAGACATAATTATGTGGACATTATGAAAGCTTTAACAACACTCATATTAAACTCATCTCAATCAAATGAGAAATCACAAGCAATTTCATTAAAAAAACATTTAGAGAGCTTCGAGTTTGTGCTTCAAGTCGTGTTACACACTCTAATCCTTGAGTCAACAAACCTGGTATCAAAGCAACTTCAAAGAGAAGACACGGACCTACAGAAGGCAACCAAGCTATTAAATGACTCAAAAAGTGAACTGGTAAATATTAGAAATAACTATGACGCAGCTGTTGTTACAGCAACAGCAATTGCTCAACAGTGGGGAATTGAGACCAAATTTAAAGACAAGAGACGCCGAAAAGTTAAAAAACATTTCGACGGACTAGCAGAGGATGAACGGCTAACGAATCCTGACCGTTATTTTAAAACAGTTATATATAATGGAACTTTAGATACGGTAATAAACCAAATCACTTCAAGATTTGAGGGGATGGACAAAGTCAGTAGTTTATTTTATTTTCTCACCCCGGAGTATTTAACGTCGTCTACGGACAACAGTTAAATCTGAAATCAACAAAATTAGCTGCTGAATATAAAGATGACTTTACTTCAGATTTTCCTCTCCAAATTCTTAGTTTCGAAGGACTTTGAAAACAGAAATCGTAAAAAAGAAATCTGTAAAAGAAATTTGCGAACTTTTGTTGATTGAGTATTATTCTGTTGCGTGCAGCGTCGCAGACGTGTGCACAGCATACATTTTGTTTTTGACATTACCAGTAACTGTTGCTTCAGCTGAAAGATCGTTTTCTAAGTTGAAGTTGATAAAAAACTATCTAAGAAGTACCATGTGTCAAGAAAGACTGAGTGGACTTAGCATACTAAGTATAGAGAGCGAAACGGCAAGGAATATTGATTTGAAAGAGGTGATAAAAGCATTTGCGTCAAAAAACTCTGTACAAATGAGCAAGTTTAAGTAGTGAAGAAAAACTTGAGCTTGAGACATTTTGTTTGAAATTATTTTGTTAACCTTGTTTTATTCAAGAGTCATTTTGGTATTTAAACACCAAACGAGTTATTTGTAAATGTTGTAAGTTAGCTAATTAAATTTAAGAATTTATTAATTTTGAAAGTACATTGTTAACAACTTTCAATTACCAAATAATAATTTCACATTTTGGTTTTGCCCTAATATTAATTTGTTAAACACAACTTTTTGCTACTCTATATTTAGCCTACTGTTTTTTTTGTTTTTTTTTTTTTAATTTTTTAGGCCTACCTTACAATTCATTAATACTAAAGAATTGTTGTATTACATTGTTTTAATCAAGAGTCATTTTGGTATTCAAGTATATCAATCAAGTTACGGTAATTAAATTGTAAGTCAATCTATTAAAATCCAAGAATTTATCAATTTTTATAGTACAGTATATTGTTAACAATAACAATTTTCTATAAGCAAATAATTACTTTACATTTTGGTTTTCCCTAATATTAATTGTGTTCACTGTTCAGTTAAATACAACATTTTGCTACTCTACTGACTTTGTTTGTTACTTCCTTTTCCTCACAATACATCAATACTAAAGATATATTTGTAATCCTAGGTGAGGTCAATACTTGAAATTCATACAAAGATAAAATAAAAAATGCAATATTTTATTCTGTGCTTAAAGTGTATCATTTTTAAGTTAACCAACTTTAAGTGTATGAGTTAATCATAAAAATTGACGAAAACTAAACGAATA